AATGTTTTGATTGCTTTTTAATGAAGTGTTAAATTAGTTTACTTTTGATGAATATTTATATTCTATTAATTTTATATATATATATATATACACACTTAACTCATTCATATGATAATATCTAAAAAAATCACTTTTTTTTAACTATTTATATCACTTTTGATATGTATATTAATAGTTTTTACATCTTGTTTATTTTTTCAGAGATAACTTAAGAAAAGAATGATTGATCAAGTAAAAACATTACTTATGTAAAAATCTGTCTTCAATTTCAAAAATATATTTTCTCTCGTTGATTAGAATTCAAGTAATACTTTCTCTTTAGATGTCTCGACAAAGAGATTAATTGCTATCTTGATGATTGTAATCAGTCAACAAAACGGAGTGCGAAATATATAATACAATAAACTCTTTTAACAAAATTAATTTTAAATACAAGAAATAAAGAATATTCATATAACTCGTAATAAATATTTTATAACTGCCTAGCGCATGGTTTTAGGATTTGTTTTTGTGACATACAGCACATATTATATATGCGCCCAAGGCCAGAGAGCCACTTGAGCGAACAAGCAACGGCATAAAATGGAGCAACGATCTATGCATCACTACATCACTGCTTGAAATGTAGTCATATCTCACAGTTATTACAGTAAATGATTAACTTGTGAAATTGAAAACGTTCCATTTTGCACTGTCTGATCTGCAGCCTTCATGTTTGTTATTATCAATAAAAAGTTGCAAAACATCGTATTGTAATTTTCACACCAAGATTTGAGTAAGCTGATATCAACACGAGCCGCTCAGTTTATCGTCGCATTATCCATCAAAACGCGATTATCTTCTAGAAACAATCACTTATTATCATCTGTTGCATTAATGCATTATGCAATGCGTCGCAGGTGACGGATAAATTATAGCTTCGTGCATAGCTTCTTCACGTTATATTTCCGTTATAGTGTAAAGTTATAATGTAATAAAGTACAAAACACGCGCAATTAACAAAATATTTATTGTTAAAATGTAACTATATTGTACTGCCTGTGTTTCAAGATATGAAACTTAATTTCAAGTGCTACGTCGTACATAGATATTTTTAGGCATTTTGCAGTATGCTATAATATTATTAGTTCATGAAATTAAAAACATTACATTGCAACAAGACTATTTGATGTGCGGCCTTAATATTTGTTATTGTCAGCGAAGTCGTTGAGCGTGGTATTTGATATATATTTTGATGCAAAATTCAGGTAACGATTATACAAATATAACTTTCAAACGCGTTATATAAATCTTCGAGTTGATTGCAATAGAAGACACATTTGCACGTAATGCAAATTTTGCGAATTTTCACAATTTACATCGTTGAATAATTTTGTCTCAACGGGACAAACTTCGAACTTCATTTTAAGAGAAATTTTTTAAGAGAAAATTTTGAATACGTGGCGCAGTGACCTGTTCTGTTAAAAATCAGATATTCAATTATGCAAATGTAAAACTTTGATAATTTGCATTCGGGTGAATCCAGATCCAAATGTGGAAAATAAAATGCAACTGTAGAAGGTGAAGCTTACTTGGTATCCATCGTATGTCCAGGAGGCCCATTTGAGGGCACATCGTTGCTCGTCAAAGGGAAAGAACTCCACATTTATGTCGCAACTGCTACGAAAGATACCGTGGCTTAACCAGACCACCTCGCCCGTGTGACTGACGATCACGTTTGTATTGATGACCGCTGAACTATATTGTGGATCCGCACTGTAACCAGAAAATTGAAACCGCATCGAGATATATGTATATATCTTTTTTTTTATTTCGATAACACAACTTTATATCTTCAAATTCCATTCCTTACATCAATAATATAATTTAAGAAATTATATTATTCGGGTACTGTAAGAAATTATATTCCACACACACATCTTGTAATATCTTCAAATTTATCCTAAATTATTTGTGTCTCTTTGTAGTTTTATTTTTTTTGTATTCAGCTGATCCCGAAAATTGTTACTTCCCAAAAGTATTCACATATTTTTCTTTTGAAAATCATATTTTATTTTGAATCTTCTCTCCAATCTTTATTTTATGCGCACCATCGCAAAGTATCCCGCAAGGGATTGAAAGAAGTTTCGAAAGAATAGTAAGATTAAGACGAGATCTCAAGAGAACGTATAAATCATTGTCCCAATTTGTGGAATTTTTGTAATATCCCAGAACCGCGGGTTAAGTATATAAACTTTCTCTATGCAAAATACATTTTTAAAGTGCAATAGCGTTGCGAAGTTTATTCCTTGATTCGAAACGATTGCTCACTTGTTATACAAAATCGTGTCAGGTCGCCAGACACGATTGTAGGGAACGCGGATTACTCGAATTCCAGCAAATTCCGAGGCATTCCATTTCAAATGATGATCGGTCCAAACCTGCGTAACCCAACAGTTGGTCGTAAGTATCTGGTTCTTTTCATCCTGAAAGAAATTATAAATCGTAAGACGTAAAGGAATGTGAAACGATCTTCGTAGAAACTGCAATATAAATTCGTTTACATAAATACAAATGCCATGCGCAAATTATAGCGCGTTTATTAATTTGTTTGAACATAACATTTAATTTATTTTTCCAATATAATGCATTTTTCTCGCTCGTTTATGAAATCTTTTCACAATTTATTTGCCAAACAAGACATTTATTTTACTTAATCAGCAGCATATTTCTGTAACGTACAATAAAAAATTCTCCCAAAAAGTTTTATAATTTGTAACTAATTTATCGTAAAATATTTAATTTGTCACGCTTAAAAAGATTACTCCCTAAAAGAAAGTTGTTGAAACTGACCTGTGTGATTAATTGAACTTTATATATATATCAACGAAACGAATCGTCGACGATATGGTTGACAAACAACAGGCAATATATCTTTCTAGTTATGAAAAAAAATAATATCAATCCCTCACAAAATCCGAAACAGTTTTAAAACCACGTTAGTAGTAATATTATTTTTGCAATTTAATAAATTCCACGCTTTATTTTTAGATTTATAAAAGTAACTGCAAATAAATTAGAAATAAAATAAAATATTTTAAAGCGATTTTACTGAAAATTTTTCTTTTTGTTTTGAACATAACAATATAACAACTTAAAAACTAAAGACAAAGTAAAATAAATGCGAAATCAATAAACTAAAATTGTTTGTCTTGTTTACCGTTTACTGTTTATATCTATTCTACAATAGTAAGCGTAGTTGTAAGTAGTTGTAATTGTAAGAATTAACCAATGAAGTCAAATATAAGGATAATATTCGACTGTGATTGATCAATTCTTACAACTACAACTACTAACTATGTGTATGCTTACAGCTATTGTAAAACAGGCATTAGGTAGAAATTCAAGAAAACATACATCTCAGTTCGTTTAGAAACGTTAATCCAATATATCTTTCCGCTCCGAGAAAAACGATACATGAAATGTTACTTTTGTCCGCAGATTTTTTTTCTTTTGCTAGCAGTATAAGACACTTAATTGATAAGTGCAAAGTATTATACGAACGAGTTCCGCGATATTTAATTGACCACCATAATCGTGCGAAATCTGCAACCTAACGAATTCCGCAGTGAATGCTATCTTTCGACAGAGATTGACGTCCGATCAATGAGCAAGAGTTCTTTATAATTGGATCTCGTTATTTTGTACGTTGAACATAAATATTCAAAGGTTCCGGTACGCGGTACTTTCCTCTATTCGACTCAGTTTAACCACTTTATGAACTTTTGAGAGATCTGCACTTGACATCCCTCAAGATTGGATCCCTTCAATTCGATAATTAAAGTAGCGCTAGTAACATTACGATATGTTATATTTCTAAATCGCTCATTAAAACAATTGCTTCGATAAATGATCGTTAAAACTATAATCGTTATATTAATTGTTATAATAATCTTTAATTATAATTATTATATTTTAATTATTATTATAACTTTTTCATTTACTTTAAAAAATAAGAGACAATATTTTTAATTACTATAGAGTTGCAAATGAAACAATTATTCACTCTGATCTCGTTAGACTTTAAAAGAATAAAAAAAAAAGGAAAGAGATTACTTATAGTAATTTTTTCATAGATAATTTAGCGAATTTTTTTATTTATTCGAGTAGCTATTTCCGTGATAATTAAACAAAATAGATACGTGCATACTTCTCTTTGATAATTATAGTGTTCGTGAAAGCAATATATTAGTCTCACTTAATACTTAACGTTCATCTTCGCGTATATTATCTTGAGATTAGATGCTATGGAAAATCAATGGAATGTGGTGGTGTAATTCAATAACGCATGATATAACGAAGATACCATCGTGAGACTATGTTCAATATTTCAATTGTAGGATTTAGGTATGTTGAGAATTTAAGCCATAGGAATTTATAGCAGATGTTATTGTTTGGCTAACAATTGCACATCCAAAATTGATTCTGTTCATATGAAAATTTATAATCCTCAAATAATACACGATAAAATAAATCATTAATTGCAGGTGAACAAATGATCATTATTCCAGCAATTTATATAATAACATCTGCAATGCAAAACACTTTTTGGAAATCTTTTTTTACTTTGCAAACATAAGTATATAACTGATAATAAAAAATTTAATATAATGAATAAATTATATTTCGAATAAAAAGAAATGGGATTCATGCAAAGTGTCCTTTCGATTATTATTCAATTATTGTCTGTTCCATGAACAGTGTCTCGAAAGATTTCCAATAGATTCGGCAATTAACAAAATTCGACAGGAAAATCGTGTGATATATTACGTTATCATCAATATTATTAAACGAAAAAAAAACGGAAAAGGAAGATAAGCTGAATGATCGATCGTACATTTTTCGCAATAGATGTAATAAGTTCTCGTTAGACGGTTTCAACCGTCTCTGGCCTCCCTGGAGTGACTGGTCGACTGCGTTGCGTTAAAGGTTGCTCTCGTTACCGCCATACGCGAAACAAATGTCTGAAACTTTCCCACCGTCTTACTTATTCTCACGCCAATTTATCTCCCGTATCTCCGATTACCATCGAGGATCCCGTCACGGTCGCGATGTTTCCATTTTCGTTGCGCATTTTTCTCAATTTTATCTTGTATACCGAGACAAATCTAGAAAAAAACTCGAAAATCTAACGTAATCAATGATGGAAATGATAAAGGAAAATTTGTAGAAAATTAATAAAATTTAAATAACTAATAACTTAGCAATGTTTATATGAACTAAAAGTATAATTATATTTATTATATCCTGTATATCGTCGCGAGAAAGCTGTGGGTAATGTTATTACATAAATTTTATGGCTCTTCAAATAAAAGTTGTTTATTCTTCACGAGTAGTGAGTTTATTCTTCACGATAAATTCAAATATTTCTATCGCTTAGTAGATTTTTTTTACCAACCACGGAACAGGAATTTATTTTATTAAAGATCAAATCCGTTTACTGAGAATTCTGTTTGAATACCAAAGCGCTGATAAAAATCAATAGCAAAAAAATCTATAGACGTAAACGCAAGTACAGTTAAAAATCGAGTAATCGCACGTTTTCATATATTTTCTCTCTTGTATTTAAATTATTTTTTATTCTATGAAATACATCGAGAAAAAAATTCTTTTTCCAATTGATTACGCCACGCCTCACCATTATCCTCTCTATACATGAAAATATTTTCTCTCATGCTTATTTTTATTACGCTTACATTTATTGTGCTAATAAGCAATAATATCTCGAAATCATTAAAATTCAACAATCGAAATAAACTAAAGAAGCAAATTGTTTGTTATACGATATCCTTCGCTAATGGCTAAAGGAAAAGTCAAGCGTGGGACTCTGCAAATATATAATGTACAATCTCGACAATGGAAAACAAAAGAATACAAAAATATTTTTGAAGAATTAAGTCCCAGTTTTCGTTGTTGTTGAACTTTAAGGATTTCGAGAAATAACGGAATTTCTACTGATATTTCTATTTTTATTTTATAGCCGTCGTCGATACTTTGTTGCAAAAAATACGTGTATATACGTACATAGTATTATATCTATTCTACGTAGCTAATAATTTAAAATTGAACATTATTTGGAGCAAAAACATTTCACGCAACTCACATATAAAAACATATTTAATTTAAAAAAATTCTTAATTATTTTAACTTCCAATTAATTTACAGAAATACATACGTAAATTTTAAATAAATAAAACTTATTTAAAAATGTTTATAGCTATGTGTAATTATATATTTTTGTTTATGTAAAATAATATTAAAATTGTACATATATTTATATTTAAATTATCCAAAAATTTTGTTATAAAATTTATAATTTAAAAAAGATGTAAAAAGGCAAACTATAGCTATTAATTTTTTTAATCTAAATTTTATAAAAATATCTAAAACATTTTAAAAATAATTTTAAGAACAAAAATTTTTTTCAAAAATAGAATTATAAATAGAATTTTGATCGTAATACTTTTTTAAATTAATAAAAGTATTCTAACAATAAGAAGAAAATCCATTAACGGAACAATCAAGTTCTCTCTCGCGTCGTATTAATTTTTAAGATTATTTACGCTCGAATATACTCACGACGTCAATAATATGATGAAGAGACAGTCCAAAGATCACGACCAAAGGCTGGGACGAATTTTTAGCAGGCCTCACGCCGGCGTCATATCCGTCCAGCAAATGCTTTGTCAGTCTGTATTCGTGCTCGTCGCAAACACCTGAACAGATAAAAAATACAATAAAATAACATAAAAATACAATTAATTTTCTAAATTGTTTTAAATTGTAACTTATTAAAATCTTTAAAAATATATGTGGCCAATTGAATTTTGAAAGAAAAAAATATAATTATTATATATTGATTTACTTGGTTAATAGAGAGAGAGAGAGAGAGAGAGAGAGGGAGGGAGGGAGAGAGAAAGAAATAAAAAAATTAACGTAATAACGTTTTTAATTTTATACATTATATATTGTTATTATTATAGAATTACTTAATATTAGTGAAATATTAGCGAAATAGATAAAACACAAACAGATTATATGCGATAAATTTATTCATATATTTTTTATATGAATTATATTAATGGTATATATAGAAATAAAGAGAGAGAGAACATCTTGTATCAAAAAAATATTTTTATTTTTCTGAAAGAGATAAGTCTGAAAGAGATATAACATTCGCAAAAAAACATCCTGCATGTAACTGAATGCTCTTTTTATTTATTGTTTGGATAAGCCTTGCGTTGAAACTATAGAAATTTCGTATGTTTAACTGCAGTACATTATTAGTTTATATTCACATTATTCTTTTATATTCAATTTAACATTTATTACTCCAAAATGCATTGATGTTATACATATTAAAACAATAATCTTTTAGCTTATTCAGATTTAAACAGATTTCAATTTTCCTCTCTTTCAAGACTTTTAATAATCACATTTTTATCACTATTGGATGCTGTTAATAATTTAACGAAAAACAACGATAATGTAAATCAAATTTATAAGTAAACCGAATCGCAAATTTAACGAAGTATGAATACGGTACTGAATAACGTACAAAACATAAATCTTATATCGTACGTTAACTTAATTATTAAAAATTTTTAATTATATCCCTCTTTTTCAATTTAATACCGAAAAATAATGAGAAAAAAATGAAATGTCCGTATAAAGAACCACTTCACCGTCTAATCACGGCACAAGTGATATTCGAAGGGATAAAACGTGATGGCGAATCACTTAGAGTAAAGAATGGTGTAAGGCCGAACGCGAGAAAAGCGGCGTAAAGTCTTGGAAAGCGACCCTGCAAAAACGACTCAAGAGATTCCTTTCGCCGGGCCATTCTCTCTGATCACAGCTCTGATCCGTTTCGTTACGTGGATCGTTCGTCCATTATAGCGATCAGCTACATGATCAGTATAACGTCAGTCCACCTTCCCATTGAAGCAACCATTGTGCCGTGAAGCGTGGTGAAACCTGTCAGAGGACCAAGCTAATCTCAGCTTGAAGTAAGGAAGGTAGGAAGATACTGCAAGGAAGATAAGCGATACTCGTCGCGAAAATACCACTCGTAATTAGGAGAATGTTCCTCACGGTCTTATCGAACTGTAAGAGTTGCAGCTTCAAACGATAGTGAGTGCCGTTTTCTAACGACATTTGAACGATGCTGAAGTAAAATTATTGGCAGTTTTACTCATACATATACAGTTTTGCTTATATATATTAAAGGAATAATATCCTATCTTGAAAAACTCAATTTTTTCTTTCTGAGTGAATTTTGTTAAAAAGATTTTTTGTATAAAAAAATATTTTTAATAAAAATTGAATGATTTTAAGAGCGCTTTAATGAGTAAAAACTAAAAAATTAAGGAAAAATTTGTATTATTATAATAAAATACTCTTGAAACCATTCAACTTTTATTTAAAATATTTTGTTTATCTTTAATAATATTCATCCTGCAGGAAGAAAAAAACTTAATTTTTTTAAGGGAAATTCCATCTTTTTAACATGCAAGAAAGCATTTATAAAAATATAAATTTTTTATTTTTGTCTACATTTTATCCGTTAATGTATCCAAAGCTTATTAAAATTGAAGGACACTTGATTGTGTTATTTTATCAGTTCTACTTTTTTTTTATTGTTAAGTATGCTGTGAATAATTTTAATACATATCATAACATTTTAACGCTTCGTTTTTATGATAATCGCATATAATTCAAATCTTTTATCTCCGAGTAGAAAAATAATTTCAAAAGATTCTCGCAGATCGAGAAATACCGGCCTGTCACCGTTGCAGGGATCATAAATCGAAAAATCTCATAGATTTGTAATGAGATCGAATGTTAGATGTCGATACTGTATGAGCTGCGGAATATCTCACGGGATCTCGACCGACTGACATCGAATTTCTTCGTGCAGAGCGGCTCATCACACGAAGACATCTGTCAACATCTGGAGATTACCTTCCAACATATGAAAATGTTCGATTATCCGAACATTTGAAATAAAAGTAAAATTTCAATAGTGCATTGTAAAACAATAATCGGCAGAATTAACATGAGGCTAAATAAACAAATTAACCAAAAGAAATTGATTTTTCTAATCTAATACTTTTCATTTTTTAGTTACTCTTATAACTTTGAGAATGACCCGAGTCGAAACGTTAGTTTAATGTAGGCATATTTTTATTTTTATTTTTATTTTTATTAAATTATTTGTATTTATTACGTACATTATATTTTGTTATTTTGGTTCGCAGCCCTTTTTAACATAATTTATTTTATTTTCATTATTTGAGCCATATTATAGTATGTATTTTAATACTTTTCAGTTATAAATACATTAAATTTAATGTAATGTCATGAAATTAAATTCAAATTTCTAATTATTGTTTTTTTAAATTCAAATTGTATAACTTAAAAGTACATTAATACATTAAATTTAAAATGAAATTATTAACAGTGTAGCATCAGACACATATCTAATAATTATCTATGCTTTTAATAAAGTTATTATTATAATTTATTTTGTTTCTCTCCTTCGATTGGTTCAAACTTTTTTACTGTATTGGATTCTATAAAAACAATCTGTTGTTTTGCACACGGTTAGCCGCGTGTCAATTCGCGGATAAATGGATAAAACTTAGTTTAGTGTAGTGACGAGGAAATAAACGCTGATGGTGACCCAAAACCATTAAAACCTCGGTACGTAAACCGATTTGTTAAATACATGCACAGACCCCGATTCCGACGAATATGCAAATTCCATCGGTATCACCGAATTCAGGCATGGAGGAGGCGTCAAATGGCCCCTTGACGCGATTGATTCGCAAATGTTTACACTACCAGCTGCGACGCAAACATACCATAACGAGGTCCGCTTAAGATCGAAAGGTACATCGTGGGACACGTGAAATCTTTAGTATGAACCTTCTATATATTATCTGTCCCCAGCAATTGAATCCATTTATTAAATTTCGAGCCAAATTTTGAGCATTACAAAACGAATTGAACTAAATTATATATATATATTATTTATTATGAATTAGATTAAATCACAAATTTAATTAGAATATTACATCATTAGTTTAACTTAAAGTAAAAAGGAAATTTTTTAAATAATTTTTAAAGTATGAAAGCAATAAATAAAAAAAAAATTAAAAGCGATTCAAGTTTATAAGAATGGCAATGACGTATTGTTCGTGATATCTCGATATAACACTTCCTAAGTAGAACAATAAGTCACGATAACGTCAAAATGACGTTAAAATGAAAATCGTAACTCATTGAAAAGTGACTTTTAATAATTACTTTAGAATCATTTCGATATCGTGATGATTTGTGTTCTGCTTGATTTCCAAACTCAAGGAATTATCAAGTCAAAAAGAAGTCAAAATAACTTTATTTTGGAGTCATGAAAATCAAAATGACAATTTTTAATTATAAAATTTGATTGTTTATTGACGTTAAGAATAAAAATGAAATTATTTTTTGTTGATTTTTGTGTATTCCTTGGGAGTACAAGAAAGTCAAAATAATGTTAATCGGATGTCATGTTAATCGATTATTGAATTTATGTTATTTTTTCATCATAATTCAGTCAATATGTACATATATTCAGTCATTATTTTAACTTTTTTGGTCTCTTTAGATTTAATCGGAAAGCAATATTATTATGCCGCTGGAAGTTATACATTCAGCATTAAAAGTTCCGCAAACCTTTCTCTTATATATGTATATCCGGCAAGTTATACCGATAAAAGTAAACTCACATCAGGATTCTGTTTGAACACGTTCGTGTTCAACTGCACTCTTGTAACTGACCTTTAGAATAGAATTTTCAACTGAGCTTAAATTTAGAATTTTAGAATTTGTACGATTGAAGATTCGTGCAGATAAATATTTTGCATCTGTTAAATTGATTCTATTTAAATCTGTCAAGAATGTATCTTTAAAGAAAATCCTACGACAATTATTACGGGCATGGGAATGTAAATTATCGAACCGTCAAGTCCTTGAAAATTTCCCGATCGAGAGATGTAATAAAAATCGCGACCTGTTCGCGTTGTTTCTCGTGTCGAGGACGTCCTTCCTAAAAATGGCTTGCAATTTGTTGACGTTTCAGCCTTGGGAATTTGATCGCGTCGCGTAATTTACATCTCAGACGTCTTTGATATCAGCGGTTGTGTAGTCCTGGCGGGCGAAAGCTATGACGAGCTTTGTGACGTCTACAGACAATATCTAAACAATTCCTAAACGCGCTGTACTTTGGTACCAAGACACAAACTTTGAAGCTTTATTGATGACGATCTACATCTTTCTTAGCTTCCGAGATTATTGAATATGGGTAAAATACAGGGTATAGGAAAAAAGTAAATAATCGAGTTTTAGAGGACATTTAAAAAAGTGACAAGTATCAATAATCCAATTCTCGAAGCAAGATAATTATTCTTCCTTATGCAATGTAGGTGTCGTGCAATGAGATTTTCTAGTTTGAGCTCAAGTAAAATAATTTTTTCTTGCGTCAAGATATTTTATAGATTTCATAAAAAAGTAAATTTTCACGAAATAATAATTTCTTAGACTTATTTTGCGAGAATATTTCAATTTTCAATTTTGTAAAAAATATAAAATATTAAAAAGAAAATATTACACATATAAAATATATAATAATTTATCTTAATCTCTTTATCTTGAATTTATCTTAAACAAGATCTAATGGTAATAATTAAAAAAAAATTATTAACTAATGAAATTATTGGTATATAAATTTGAAAACATTGTTACAATTATTATTATTGTTGTTATTATAGAAATTAATAAAAAAATTTTTTAACTATTTAAAAAATTTTGCAAAAATTTCATTGTTTGAAAGAAAATCTATTTATACATTCAATGATTAAATATTAAACTTAATTATGCAAAAATTAAACTTATAATTTATTAAGTAATTATAACAAAAACTCAATCAATTAAGGAAACAAAACTTATTATCAAAGAGACACTTAAAAATTAAACAAAGAATAAAAACTCTTATTACTCTTATCAATCTTAGTATTTTAAATCCTCAAAGCGAAAACTTTTCAACCTGCAATCGCAATGTTTTAATATTAAAACAAAAAAGGATCTAAAATGATTTCCCAGACAACATATTGAGATATAAGACGTCTTTAAGACGTCTTAAAGACGTCTTATGTCTCTTTTTTAAATACTTTGCGTTGTCTTGCGGTTCAGTCGGAAATTCGCGGCTATCTTGTGAATTATCGGTTGCGTTCGGTTTGGACAATTACGCGCTTTAAGCGTATATAGTCATCATTCTGTCTTTATCATCCATTAAATGTAAAACAAGGATAGAAGTGCTAAAAACATCCAAATCGATAAATAAAAATCGCACAATTCTGCGAGCACTCACCATTCCCGAAGGCGATGATCAGAAGAAACCCGTATCGAAGAAACGGAACGGGAGAGGGCGACATGGAATTGAGGGCCTGCTCGTGACCGCGTGACCGCCTACGTACGACTGATACACGACGACAGCTTTCAACCACCGTGCAATTTCGCCTCTGAATCCCGCGCTATCCCTACCAGAGAACGCGGGTTCCCGAAGGAAATTCGCGCAGGCGTTTATCGAAACGGCGCCAGCACGAATTTACACCGAACGCGAAGTCCGATTGAAATGTACAAAGATACACTGAAATGTATTCAAATTATATAGAATGACGTTAAAAAATGACATATCCAAAGAACATACCAAGAAAAAGTCAGAATGGCTTTATTTTGACGTCATGAAAGTCAATGATTTTTTATTACGAAATTTGACTATTTATTGACGTTAAGAATAAAAATAAAGTCATTGTTTCATTTTTTGTTGATTTTTTTTTGTATTTCTTGAATTTTGTTTTTTCACACAAGCGATACTGAATCTATAAAAGTTACGAATATTTTATACGCAGATAATGTCGTCATTATTTGCTTACTTTGGTGACAAAGTTATCGCGTGACAACGCAGGTTTATAACTTACTTTTGCGGGGTAACAAGACTCAGTAAAGTACACAGTTTCAAGCTTTCAAACTTGTGCAAAATGTAAGTAAAGATTCAATCTCACTTGTCAGAATAAAAAGGAACGTGCAGCACTCAACTGAGTAATGACATCATAAATGAGAATTATTTGAGTTTTGGTGCAAACAGAAAGTAGCTATACAGACTTCTATTTTAGTCTACTGGACATTACATCATTTTGTAATAACATCTATTACTTGAGGTAATTTTTTGTTTGTATTCTTTAATGTTTAAATAAGAAAGCGCAAATTGCGAAATAATAGCATCGATACATTTTCTCTATGAGAGATAATGGATCACATATTTCATTTTTAAGCCGACAAAAACAGTTCAATTATAAAATAGACGTCATCACAATCTATTTTTAATAATTATTTATCAACATTTTTTATCGATTACGAGAAACAAGCTTGAATTTTACGTTTTTGTAATCACGCACATTTAGATCAATATTCAAAATTTTTTTGAAAGTAGATATATATTTTATGATACAAAAAAAGATGATTGTTGAAATATTAGGTGTACAAAAAAGTTCTGAGCTTTAGATTTGATACAACCGAAATAACAATTTAAATTTTATATATCTTCCCGCCCTTTTGGGGTTTTAAAACAGTAACATTTAACCTCCTGAAATGCGATACGGTTTGGCGTTTGATGCACATAACCTCAAAAATCAGTAGTGTTCACGATGGCAATTACAAAAGAGCATATTCGATTTTCCATCCACTTCGCGTTTCATCTGAAGAAAAATGCTGCTGAAGCCACTGAAATGATTTGTGCTGCATATGGAGAGAACGCTGTAAGTCATGCAACATGCAAAAGGTGGTATCAAAAGTTTCGCCAAGGAGATTTCAGTCTTAAAGATGAATCGCGTGCTGGACGCCCTGAAAAGATTGAAACGGACGAATTGCAAGCACTGCTGGATATAAACTCTGCGCAAACTGAAAAGGAGCTTGCAGAACAGCTTGGCGTTACGCAGCAAGCCATTTCCGTACGATTGTTTTTAAATAAAGATTGAATTTTACAAAAAAAAGCTCAGAACTTTTTTGTACACCTAATAGTAATTTAAATGTGAGAACGAGTTTATAATTAAGTTTCCTTATATGTAAAATATATTTATACATATATAAATATTTTTTATATTTTTTATATATTTTTTATATATATTGTATGTTAAAATTATCCTTGTAACTCTAAGGTTTTAATAAAATTTTGCTTTTTAAATTTTTATAAGTCAAAAGAAAAATGAAGATTTTAAAAAATTACAATCTTGTAAGTCTTGTATAAATGTCGAAGTTACAATTTTATAAAAATTTTTTAATGAAATTTGCAGTATATTTAACTTTTTAATAACAATTTTTTAATGATATAAATATAAATTGTTGCACAAAATTTTGGATTTCAAAAATAATTTAGTTTAACAGGAACTGATTTACTGCATATTTCTATGCAATTTCGTACATACTGTGCATATGTCACGTAATAAATCCACATATTAATTCCAATGGTGTTAAGAAATGAGAGTATTTAATACCGTATCGTTATTACAATAAATTACAAAACGTTATTACAGAATATAAATGATTCATTACACAATGCACTAAATTATAGAAACAATAAATAGCATGCGTGATTTTTGAAAAGCTAGATATATATATATATTTTTACAACCAATCGTGAAATAATCTTTTTACAAATATATGAGCGACGAAACGGTGTTTGTTAATAAATAAATTGCAGACGATACAAGTTATCGATCTCAAAAATTGATAATTCACCTTCGTTATTTTTCTTTTCGTCGCGCCGTATCAAAAATAACATTTATCATCGCATAAACTTTGATAACAAATTGGGTTTACAATTCTCTATAAACTTCCGCTATATTACACTCTGGCACTTGAGATTAGTGTTACGAAATAAGCGAATATCCTGAGAATATTCGAACATCTTTATAAATTATACTAGAGAATGTTATTCTCAATATACTATATTAACATAACTCCTACTTTTAATATTCTCAGGATATACTTCAAAGTTCCTTTTCCAGAGAATTCATCGGAATATTCTCCTCTTCGGAGTACTTTCTTCCAAGAATACTTCCACGCTATTGCTCGGGAATCTTAATACGAGCAACATTGCTGATGACATCAGCTGGAGAACCCAGGATTGGTATGCTCTATGATGCAACGTCGGCAGTAACGTTTAACCGCGCGATAGCCGACCCACGTGACTCTGGAGCACTCGCCGATGTTGAGTTGCCGCAGGCCACGTACATAGTAGGCCAAGGCTTCGAGACCAGCGTCGGTGATCCTCTCGCATCCGCATAGAGACAGCTTCTTCAGGTTCGGACATCCGGTAGAGAGTGCCTCGAGGGTCGCATCGCCGATGTCGCACTTGCCTATGTCTAGGGCGCGCATACGCGGACAACCACGTGCCAGGGCGATGGTCGCGCTGTCGCTAAGCGCTTCGCAACCACGAGCGTTCAGGTAGCGCAGCTTGTAGCAATGACGGGCGACGACCAGTAGACCAGCGTCGGACACGCGGTCGCATTTGCCTACGGAGAAGTAACGGAGCGATGGACCGAGACGTGCAGCCAGCTCGCGCACCCCGAAGTCCGTAACTTTCACGCAATCTGACACCGACAGCTGACGCAGGTTGGCGCAGTAGGAAGCGATGGTAGCCAAGCTGGAGTCGGTAATGCGGCTGCATCTACGTAAGTAAAGGCATCCCAAATGCGGCATGCGCGACAGGCTTAGCATCAGGCCAGAATCCTCAACTCCATTGCAATCGCTAAGATCGAGCGACTGTAGCTGTAAAATAGTGGTACGACCGCAGGCACGAGTAACATTAGAACAGCCAGTCAAGTCAAGCTCTCTGAGATGAGCACAGCTGTCCAGTACGGAGGTGACGTTGGCATCGGTGACTCGACGCGAGTGTCGCAACACTAGGGAGGTCAGATTGAGGTACGGCAGTTGAGCGAAGATGCCGGGCAACCCGGTGGCGCCTTCCAGGACTAAACGACGGACACAGGTGTGACAACCACGGCGCGTCAGCGCGTTTAACGCCGCGGTGGCATTCTGTGGATAACGCACCTCGACTTCTCGCCAGAGTGCCGGATGCCACGCAATCTCCCAGAGTCGTCGGCAAGTCTGCGCCAGGGAACAACGGTCGCGGGTGTCGAGCCAGCTAAAGATCTTCAGCAGTAGACTGTCATCGAGCTGGCAGAGGTCATTGACGGCGACGTGATGAACCAGATGATGCTTAGGCTGCGATAGCTGTTGCTGCTGTTGCTGTTGACGAGTCGGCGTGCTGGATACACCCGGGGTTGACGAGGACGATGATGAAGTAGTGCGGCAAGCATTGTTGTCGAGGGTGTGATAACCCAAGTCGATAGCGTCCGCACCTGGTCGATAAACGCCGACCTTCTGCGACGAGTAGCCTCCTCCCCGCTCAGAGCCGCTCTGTTCCCCGAAGCTGGGAAAGAGGAGTGGGCATGATCCTTCCATTCCATGCTCCGTTCTGCAATTCAGAAATTTATTTCAATACGTGTAATTTTTACATTCATATTCTAAGTAGAGATAAAAATTGTTGGATCTGAAGGACATTTCACAACAAAATTTATATTTTAAAACGTGATTTAAATTTTTAAACTTTTTCCTGTTGAATACAAGGTAACAGTAACGTTACAACAATGTTATAATTTCCTATTAAACATGTATAACCATTACAACTTGTGTTATGTTACATATATATAGTATACATGTGTGTATATATTTTTTTGCAATTTTAAACAATATTTAAAATCCAATTTGTAAGTGCATACAATAAAATTAATATTTATTATTGCTTTTATTTTACTATTATTATTATTATTATATTGTTTATTAAGAAATTATAATATTGATACAATGTTATTATTACTTTGTGTTTAGTAAATTTTCACAGATTTGCTCACACACAATAAAAATGTAAGTATATTTTTCGAAACAAAAAAATAAATTCTAACTTAAAATTTAACAATCAAAGTATATATTCAAAATTGGCGAACTAAATTATAATAGAAATTGTTTTCGAAGTTATTTCTTAAAAAATACAAAAAAATTCAAATTTTATATGCTTAATTATTAGCCTGTGTTGTCTAATGATGACATATGTCATGACGTAATTAATTTGCGGCTAGATTATTCGTCGAATTTACGAAACTAAACGTAAAACTGCCACAATTCCACTTTACTTGATAGAATTATTTTCGTACTGCTTCAACAATAAGTTACGGTATTCGCTTTCGAGAAAAAAATTTTGCCACTGTACGGATCTCGAATTTTGCGCGGCGATGCCGTATTTACAGAACACGAGTTATAGCGCGGGGAGGGGCCTTATCGACGCGTCCATTCGCGACGCGTCACGACCGTTTACGGCACGGTTTGACGT